TAAATAGGACAAAACGTGAGTCCTGAATTCCACAGCTATCCACTATCCATCTTTGCTTACATATAGAAATAGATTCAAAGAATAAAATCTATTCAATGACAATCCTTTTTGGTAAATTTGAATAGTGTAATAAGAAGACGAAGATTATTAGAACTATGTGATATATTAGAGCAATACACGTCGAACAATCTAATCACACACAATATACGTGTTAAGAATATTTATATATATAAATAAAAGGTCAACTAGACTGGAAATGGAGGGTGAAAGGGAGACAATGATAATAAAGAAAATAATGTGAAAACAATTTTAGACCTCATCATTCTGGATAGTAAGCTAATATTACTAGGGTAGGTTTAAGGTGAGAACAAACCGTTTTTAAATACACAAAGGGGGGTTGAATTTTCGCATGGCTAAGGCTTCAATAAACCTTAGTATTACACTTTTACACTTTTGTACAACACAAGGTAGATGCGTAAAAAATTTTTTGAATTAAATCAGTTTTGAGTGCGAAACTATTGTTTGAGTTATTCGTTAATACATATTCTTGAAATATACGATGTACAAAAACCTGATCTACATGCATTTATTTCTAAATGTGGGCATTGTTATTGGTGAAGATGGATAGTGGCTAGTAGTGGAATCCAGGACCCACGTTCCGTCCCATTTGGGATCCTTCAACTGGTTGCACCTGCACCCCAGGGTTGATGTTCACTCCGGGACTCGAACCCAGTACCGTTCGCTTCAAATGCCATCACGTTATCCACTTAGCTATTGAGTACTGATAGCCACTTGCTTGTGCGATGGGGTGGAGTTTAAATTCACTTGGTATTGTTTACTTGGATCTTCTCATTGATGTTTATGACTGCAATTGATCAGTCTGTTATTGACGTATGTGCATACTATGTGTATTTCTTCGATATTGCCTTTATTCTCAAGCATTCTAAGCAAAGATGTATAGTGGCTACCAGTGGAATCCAGGATGTACGTTTCGTCCCATTCGGGACTCGTCAAATGAATGCAACTACATCCCAGAGTTGATATCCACTTAAATCAATATCGAGGCAATGCGCATGGCACGCACGTATGCCAATAAGAGACTGATCAATTGCATTGCTAAACATGAATGGAAAGATTAAAGTAAACAATACTAAGTGGATTGTTATTGGTGTTTTCTACTTCAAAAAGTTCATTCGTATATTTATGTTTCCCAAATTGCTAAACAAAGATCTACTTTTATAAAGACTATCATTTTTTTTAAGAAAAAGATTTTAGATATTCATAATTTACAGGTTAACATCCTTTTTCCAAATTATATCGATTATTGAATAGCAGCTACTTTATGTCTTAAACAAAAAAATCCACAATTTTTCTTATGCTTACCTAACGTATTTCTTATTAAACTATAGAAGTTTGATTTAAAGTATAAAATTGAACTGAAATGGATCGAATTTTACGTTTTCTAATAGAATGATGTCAAATCTTCAACCTGTTTACAGTTATTGAATGAAGACTGTGGTGTGTGTTACTGATGTCGACAGATATAAGTGGTATGTACTATCAATTGAAAGTGAAATATCTGGCAGTAGAAGGTTAAAAAGATCAAAGAAAAGACAATGAGAACAGAGAATGATTGGTGTGGAAATGAAGAAACAATGAAGTGTGAGACGATTGATTGACATTTTACAAATGAAGAATTTACTGTATGGTTCTCAGATTTTACTAAATGATTCTGTAATTTTGTATTTAAATACATTTGATTGTCCCCATTTGTGTTGAATATAATACTGAAATAAAATTTTATCAATTACTCAATAGATTAGTGAACTGTCAAACCTTTCAAAACAATCCGATATATAAAACTGTATGTAACTACTATCATGCAAATCTACCGGTATATATGTGTAGAATTAAAAGTCACCTTTTCGTATTTTCTTCTGTCTGCTTAAAGAGTATGTCTAGTATACATTAAAACAGGGTAGTGTCATTTAAATATGATTAACTTAGATGTTTCTTTAGATACTGTTCACCTACAAATAGTCCAATCGTTAAAAAGAATACTTTTAGTCATGTTCTAAGAAGATCAAAGCTTTAAATCAGTATTGCAACTCTATAATGACAGAGTTAAAATTATGTAATTTTGTCACTTAGTTGTTGATAATATCTATTGCACTGCCCAATTCTCTCAAACAAAGCTAAATCAGTAAATAAAGAACATTTTGTCCTGGGATATTCATTCAATGATTATTAGTGTAAAACCATTTTCTTTATAGAAAATTAAACGGTATTACTAATAGTTTAAACGGTTGAAACAATAGAATTTTTATGCAGATCATGGCTCAACAAGCAAAAAAAACAATCGCTTCTCTGAAATTTATTCATGTGTTTCACTGGTTGAAATCATGAGTCGATTGAACCTAGACCGCCATGGAAAACCTGGAAGCACTGGACCGACCTATCAGTCTCGCGCCAGGCGCTTAACCAACTAGACCACTGAGCCGGTATCCGACGGTGTTAATGTCTAACTTTAACCAATCAATGAAGCCCTGGGGTGCGGGATCGTGGATGCGCACTGCTGAGGAGTCGCATACTAGAACGAAACGGCCGTCCAGTGCTTTTAGGTTTTCAATGGTGGTTTCGCCTCAATTGACTCATGATAATTTAACAAGTGAAATTTCTAATATCTTCACAAAACCCATTTTTAAATTTATTCATGTGTATCAATAGTTTAATGTTTTCCTAATTCTTTCATGAAGACGTCTTGTTTTGCCAACAACTTTGAAAAACAATAAAATAAATATTGAGGGTATGTAAATCTTAAATTTCCTAATTATCGTTAAAAAACACACACTGAATAGTGTGCGAGAACAAAACAATTCACAGTTGAATTTATGATTCGGTCTAAGCTAGACCATTTGGAAGTACTGAACGGCCGTTTTGTCTTAGTATAGGACTCCTCAGTAGCGCGCATCCACGACCACACTCGGGAGACTCGAACTCAGGACCTTCAGTCTCACATAAGAATGCTTAACCTCTAGGTCATTAGGCCGGCATTTAATGGTGTTAGTGTTATTTTAGATAGATTGTTAATTTTAAGAAAATATTTCATTTGTGACAATTCATTTTGTATGAAGTGATAAACTTATTTGAATTAAATTGTTCACTTAGTCAACTTAGTCTTTCTTCAACTATTGAATTTACGAAATACATAATTATTAATTCAATAAATACTTAGGCTGTATAAATCATGTTTACATTTTTGGACTGTTTCAAAAGGTCGGAGTAATTTTGGCCAGACTATAATTTGTAGTCGAACCAATCAGGTATAAGATAACAGGTTTCGGATTTTGGCACGAAATTCACTCATCTATTTTCGATACATAGAGTCTTGGCATTATAGCTGATATCAGTTCATGATGAAAACTCTAAATCTAATTCCTAACCTTAACCAACAACTGTAAATCATAATTTTAATTCCCCACATTGGCTTATAACTCTCATTTAGTCGTAGTTATTAGGTGGGTACTCTCAAGGTCACTCTAGCGTCGCTCAAAGGTCCTTCATAAATTATACTCTCACCGTAATTTTCAACACATCACTTGATTGGCAGAGAACAAAAGCAAACAATTATCAATCAAATAAGTTTTGTATTTTACTGTTAGCAAATACGCTTCTTAACAAATTTTTTTAAAGGTTTCATCATGACAGTATTAGTTCCATTTTAATTAAGAATATAACCCATTGTTATAAAAAATATACATTTACTTCTATGCATAGTTGTAAATGCACACACACACATACACACACCTTGGTTACTTCGGTTATTGTACTATTAATGATTGACAATATCAGATTATGTGTAAAAGATGATTTTAACCTCAATACCAATGTTCATAATGATTATTACACTTTTTTAGGAACACTATTAACAACGGAAGGATATTTCCTTTTATTCCCATTTTTTTCTTTTATAAATGATACAGTCCTAATTTGTACAAGTAATAAATTTTTTCAGTTTCAGGGTATGTTACTTAATAAAGAAATACTATATTAAATAACTTTAGGTCATAAATTATTCCAAAATGTAAGAACCTTACATCACAATAGTGAGTTAAGGAAGAAATATATTAGTAGTATGTATTTCAGTATTCTTTATACTGAAATCGTTTGTTATCATGATCTGTCTAACTCCTTGCCATATGTATACATACCATGGATCAAAACTAAAGTTGGATTATGGGTCAGTGATCTAGAAATTAGGCTCTCACGTGCAAGATCTAACGTTTTGGGTTCGAGTGGTAAATGCACATTGTTGAGGAGTCCTATACTATTACACACTAGCTATTCAGTACCTCCATGTTTTAAGTAGCCGTCAAACCTGTAAAGGTTCATAATGATAACGACATTTACAGATTTTCACAACCCCCTTCTCTTAAATTTATTGAACTGCACGTGGTTATTCGTAAGAAGTCTTACCGTTACGTAATATAGGTATCCACACATTAGTCGTTAGTGTTTCAGTAAGGAAGTATACATATAATGGAAATCTAGTAACGTTTTTGATTTAACTAATTTTGTTGTGAAACGAAAGCCAAATGCTTTACACTTATTCTGAATTGAAGTTATCGTTTTGCTTCTTCGTGGTAAAATTTTCATCTGAATTTGTTTTAAACAAAATCAAGTAACGATTATTATTCTATATTGATTTTGAACAATTGGTCTTATCAAAAAGAAAATCTATGACTGTAAGAGGAAATAAAGCTGGTAGCTGGTTTTAGATATTTTATTTAGAATGTAAATAATCTGAGATTAGAAACTTCAGTTTCCCCTTCTTGAACACGTCAAATCCATTCAAGTCATTCAACTAACCAAATCAAAAATTCAAATGCCATGAAACCAAATATAGGTTGGATTCAAACAAAGTGAACTAATAAGTAAATAACATTTGTTGAAATACAGTCATTGTATTCATTATGAAAATAGTTGAATGAATAACTCACCTTTAAACAAAATATCAAAGACAATGGTAATGTAATTATGATCAGTAAAATGCACAATACATGTAAAAAACTTTCCATAAACCATTCTTCATCTGTATGAACAGTATTTTGTACCAAAGTTCGAGTTTCTTCAGTGTCCTCCATGAAATCTTTAGTAATGAAATACTTTTTCAATGATGATAACTTGCATAGACGTTCACGTTTCATGTATGTCACATTATTCACCTCAGTCTTTAATGGTTTTCTAGGTTGTATAAGTGAGTAATTCTTGAAAAAGTCAATATTTTCTGTATCATCTTTATCGTAATCTTTAGCCAATGCTAATATTTGTAACAGTTCTTCTGGAACATCTACTGAATTTGTAGTTTCTGGTACAATGGGTGGTGGTAATTTCGATGCAGACAATATTGCTTCGGCTATTTGTGGATCAGCCATTTCTTTACGTTTACGTTTAGCAATAACAAGACCTAATGGATCTGTTTTAACTTGTTTTGTATTGACTAAATGAGACAATGGAACCATTGAATGTTTTGATACAGAATGTGTTTCTTCTGATTTCAATAAAGTGTTCGATTTAATTGCTTCAATATTATCTTGTTCTAAATGATCCATCATAAAAATATTTAGTTTCAATAGTTTGATTGTTTGATTCAAGTAATTAGTAATTGATGATTCAATGTTTTCAAATGAAATCAAATTGTTATTCAATTGTTTAATAAGAAGTTTTTGTTCATTATTCCTGTTTAAAAGAATAGGTAACCGCATTACATTCTGGTCATAATATTCATGAATTAAAAATATTACATAATAATTGCCAAGAATATAATTGTTAAAGTATCCTAAATTATGATTTATGAAATAAATTAAATAAATAATTGTATCGGTTATTTATTTGAAGAAAACACTTGATTCTGATTGGTTAAACTGGGTATGAAATATTATTCTCTGATTGGTCAGTTTGTATAGTTTAAGTTATTTAATAATGAAATATTCAATTACATAATATTCATCAATTTGACACTATTAGTTCCTTTTTGACTTAAACAACAAGAAGATAAGGTTGATTTTAAAGAAATTTATTATATTTATGTTAAGTTCGCTATTTGATTAACGCAGAATACGGTTTACGATTATGACACTCGAACACTGAACTTCACCGTCGCAAATTAGAAGAAAAGCTGGAGAAGTGTTTACTTGGAAAGAATCATCAGTGGCAACGAGGATGGGATAAAAAATATAAAGTCATAAAACTTAAAGATGGATTTCAACTGTGAGTCTTCAAAAAAAGAAAGGGAGGTGATCTGATGGGAAAAAAGTTAAAATTAGATTGATTTACTCAACATCACTCCCGTTCTGATTCAACGTGATGGCTATACAGTGTAGTACTTGTTTTCTTTTCTCGTATGATATTCTATTCTGTATAATAAATGATATATTTGTATTCAATTGACATGAATTATGCTCAGTATGTGATTTGTTATATATGTGATTTCATCCTAATTATTAATCAAAATGGGTGTACGAATCAATATATTGATGAGTGTATCTTCGACTAGAGTCGTCGTTGTCGTGCTTTGAGAGTCAATGAATCATCGCTTGTACCAGTCTTTGTGTTCTTACTTTCGCGCTGTGTGAATTGTAGAGGTCCCTCATTTCGAGTATAAGTGATAAGCGTTTACGACATAACAATCAGCGACGACCAGATATAGTAGCATTCAAGTGACATATCGTATCAATTTGACCTATACATTTCGAACAATCTAGTCATATATAGTTGTCACAGCATTTATTTATATGAAAACTAATCAAGTTCATATAAGTTGAACATGGAAAAAAATTGTAAATAGGAGAGAACACGTAACTAATATAATGTGGAAAAGTTAGAAAGTTGTCGGATCATTCTAAGCTATAAAGTGACTAAAAGATTAACAGGACAAAGTTAAGGTTACAAGAAATTATTTATGTATATATAAAAAAAGTTTGAATTTCTCGATTACCCAAAACTTCTATCAAATGAAAAACTTGTAACAATTCTCGTAAAACATTTTAAAAGTTGTGTTGAGGTCAATGTTGTGACCTGTTTTGATGATATGTTTTGGTGTTAATGAACATAGTTGATTACTTCTAACATTTCTCGAAGCGATGGATACTAATAGATTACGAAGTCATTTATGCACATATTCCATAACCCTTGATCGTGTTGTTCATTTATTCTTTTCTATAGTTATGTGTTCACGCAAACATGTGAAATGGTAAATACAGTGGGATATGGCAATCGTCATTATTATTAATTTGGAATTGTGAAATTTTCTTACTTTAAATCACGAACTCATCTTAGCTAGACCACCATTGAAAACCTGAGAGGACTGAACAGTTGCGTCGTCATTGCATGGGACTAATCAGCGGAGCATATCCATGAATCTGCATTTTGGAATCGAACACAGAACCTTCACCCTGAGTGTAAATACCTAGCATCTAGGCTACTAGTAATGAGTCCTAAAATAAGACGAAACGGTCCAGCTAAGATCAGTTGAGGATTTAAACTATGAAATTTCTACAAACTCTGCAAATCCTACTATAATGATTATGGAATTAATTTTCCCTAATTTCAATTAACTTCAATAAACATAGAGTTCGATTAGTGTAATACATGTGAGTGTTTTCTCACTCAATAGTCTAACTAAAATTGTGTGTTTGCTACACTCAAAAAAATACCTGCTGAGTTCACTTAAATATATCTATTTCAGTTCAGTTCCAAATTCTTATCTAATTCAGTCAAACTTTATAAGAAGGGGTTTTGTGGAGATAGTAGTAATTTCAACAGTTGGAATCGTGAGTCGATTGAAGCTAGACCATCATGGAAAACCTGGAAGTGCTGGACGGCCGTGTCGTCCTATTGTGGGACTCCTCAGCAGTGCGCATCCACGACCCTGCCTGGCAGGATTTGAACCTAGGACCTAGCGTTCGCTCGCGGGACCGATATTTCCTAGGTTCGAATCTTGCGAGGCGGGGTCGTGGATGTGCACTGCTGAGGAGTCCCACAATAGGACGAAACGGCCGTCCAGTGTTTCCAGGTTTTCCATAGTGGTCTAGTTTCAATTGACTCATGATCTCAACTGTTCAAACTGTATAAATTAATTAACCTTCAACATGTATTGTAACTAATTAGAATGAATTTTCAGTAATTCTTGTCTTGGTTAGTTTTGGTATTACAAGCATGATCTATAGTATGGCAATAAAAATATAAAACGTCATAAAATTCATTCACTAGATCCAGACAATTTAGACTGAAGTGGAAATGTATTCAGCCATTTATTAAATGATATCAGTTTTTTGTTTCAGTTGTAAGTACCTTCTTAAGAATTATAAAAAACGTCATTGTTGTAAAGGTAAATGAATGTGGGGGGGAGTTTTCCCAAGTATTGTTTCTTTTCCATGTCTACTAAATAATGGATAATACAATGTATTACATATAGAAAAATGATGTATCACGGTTATACTCAAACTAATCATTGTTCATAATTCATTTGTAAGGGTTGTTTATATCTCCCGTTGTTGATGTTAACAACTATAATTGATAAGTCTCTTTCGGTGTATCTCTATTTTGAGTGGGTTTGTCTAATGCATGCATAACTTATAATCACTTTCAAGCGGAGTTTGATATTGGCTAGCAGTGCACTCCAACGCTCGTTTCGTCGTATTCGACACTTATTAGTTGGGTGTACCTGCAACTTTGTGTTGACACTCACTTTATGACTCAGACCCATTACTTTTTGTTTTAAACCCAATAGGTTATTCAATTATACATATATCTTGCTAATGAAAGGTTTAACTTGGCAGGTTTTGAATGTTTATATACATAGGAATTTATTGTATCTAATATTAGTTAGTGACATTTCTTGAATATTAAAGAATATAATGTTATATGGCAGTAGTAAGTTACAAGAAACATTTCAAATATAGGCATATGTAGAAGCAAAATATATATGAAAGGAAATGTTTCACATAAGTATTCCCCAAAAAAGAAAAGTCCTAATGAATTAAGTCGGACATTAACAAGGTTTAAATAAATTTTAAAGATAGGATGCATCGCGTGTTGAAATCTTTTGGTGAACTTCAGAAAGTCAGAAAACACGTAACAGCTCTTTCGTTTTGTTTTGTAAAGCTTCTTTAGTGTGCCTTATCGACACTGAAAATTGTCATGATCTCATTGCTCATGTCTAGTAAATAGAATTAGGAAAGTATCGAGTAAAATGCTTTGATGCAACAAATATGATCGTATAATCACTACTGAGTAACTGCAAGATTGGTTATAAAGTGAATTAGTGACATATAACTTTAAATAAGAAAGATTAGTTCAGCGAAGAGTTCTCTTTTCGGCGAATTCATTTTCAAAGCTGTACGATCGCAAATATATATATATATATATATATATATATATGTATATATATATATATATATATATACTTATTTGTACAGGATGATAATAATACCGATAATAAACTTGTTATACATGGTGACAGTGAGGTTAAATAAACAAAGGTATTAAAAAAATTTTTAAAACAAGGAAAGTTTAATCGTTTGATTGTTAATGGCTTAAGTATTCATCAAAAGATAGATAGGGAAATTATCATTGTGAAAGGATGGCTCAGCGTGATAAAATAAAATGTTGAAACATAGATGAAACGTAATCGGGATGATCGTGGAAATAACTTTACCCTTTTCTATAGTCAGGCTAATCCTATCAGACAGCGATAACTGATGAGTGCGTCAGATCACGAAACGACTACAGTTTTAAGTATGTAAATTTGTTTTCCAATACAATGAGTTGAATATTTTGACCTAGCTACAGATCGACTTTATATGACGCATTAGGTGGACTCCGAAGAGAGGTACATAGTTAAGACGAAATCGCTATCCAATTTTATTAGTTCACTTATCTTTTGATAGCTCATCTACTGCTGTCAATCGCTGATAGAAATTTCTACATTATGTTCATTAATTTATTGAAAAACCTAATAAATAAATAGTGCAGACCATTTATGAGTTTATTCACTTACAGTCTGATAAAAAAATGTATATTGCACATTAGGATACAGTATACACTGTAATTTATCCACCAAAAATATTAATTACCTATTTACTTACTTACTTACTTACTTACTTACTTACGCTTGTTATCACTCATGGAGGAGAATAGGCAGCCTTCCAGCATTCTCCACCCCACTCTGTCCTAGGCAATGCTTTCCAGTTCTTTCCAGTTGTTATTCATCCTTTTCACGTCTGCTTTCAGTTCCCGACACAATGTGTTCTTTGGCCTTCCTCTTTTTTGTTTCCTTTCGGGATTCCAAGTTAGAGCTTGCCTCGTGATGCAGTTTGGTGATTTCTGTAATGTATGTCCTACCCACCTCCAGCGTGTTTTCCTAATTTCCTCCTCATATCGAAGCTGGTTTTCTTCTCCCCTAGAAGGCTGTTGCTGATTGTGCCTGGCCAAGGGATATTCATTATCTTAAGTAGAAAATTGCTTATAAATACTTGTACTTTTTTGACGATCGTTGTGGTAGTTCTTCAAGTTTCATCCCCATATAGTAGAACTGTCCTGATATTCGTATTGAAGATTCTGACTTCGATATTGGTTCCCATACGTTCTTCAACCGTAAGAATGTTGCCCTTATTTTGCCAATCCTTCCCTTTACATCTTCATCGGATCCTCTTTGTTCATCAATGATACTACCCAGGTACGTGAACGATTCCACATCTTCAAG